TTTCACTACACGATTAAAGAATTTAGCGGCTAACTGAGATTTAGAGTTGTAACAGCAGATTATTATTTTATAGTGCATCAATAATAAGACTAAGAGTGTACTGGTCTGGGAAGCTGTAGCCTACATAGAGACAGCTGTGCTTTGAGCTAAATGCTAACACGTCTTGGTTTAGTGCGTTGTTAAACAGTTGAGGGTGATGGGTATGTCAGTAGTTTCGCAGGTATTAAGTCAAAAACCAAAGACTTAGACAAATTAAAAATTTGAGCTGACAATGGCACCAAATGAAGATCATTATTAATACATTTAATAAAACTAATCTGAAGGGGAGCATGAAGGTCAGTATCAAAGTTCATGGCAATCCATCCAGCAGATATTGAGACATTTCAAAATACCAAATGTGGTGATGGTGGTGCTATGGAGTCAGAGGATCCCTAAAGTCAGTAGGCTTTATCCTCTGGGGACCATGAACATCTGTACAAAATATAATCAAGTTTTAATTAGTGGGCTTTAAAGGGGCAGGTGGGTGGATTTTGTTACCTTTGAACAGAGCTAGGCACATTTTTTTCACCGTTTACAGAATTTATGCTAAGCTAAGCTAACTGGCTGCTGTATCCAGCTTTATATTGAACAGACAGATATATAAGTGGTATCTATCGTCTCATGTAACTTTCAGCAACCAACACACTTAATTAATACCATACCTGGCTCCTTTTCAGGGAGATCCTTGGGTAACATGAGACCTATTGATCCTTCCTCCAGTGGTCCTCCATCTGATGGTTTCCTCTGCTGAACTTCCTGGAGATTATCACAACAAGGAAGTGGTAAAGTCAGGGTGTTTTGATCTTGGACCTCTGTGGACCCAGAGGAGGAAGATGATACATCTGGAAGTTGAGGCTCTTTTGCTACTTCAGTAAAAGATGGTGGCTCTGGGTATACGTTTCCACTGGCTGCAGGTTTATAGTGAGGCATGAGTGTCAGGACTGTAGAAGGGACTAGAGACGATACGCTCAATACTTCATGACTGATTGGACCTTGAAAAGATGTTGATGACCAGTGGTCAAGGGACGGATAGATTAATGCAACAACTGGCTGCCGTGCATCAGAAGTGCTGGTGCTTCCTGTCTGGACCTCCAAATCCATACTTTTAAAGTCGCTGGTAGATGTCATGAAGTGCAGAGTATGTTTAAAGTTCATGTTTGATTTCTTCTGATTAGCACACGTGTGTTGGTTTGGGTAAGATCTGCTGGATTTCAAACATGGCTGAGCTGAGAGGAGGGACACAAAAATGGTCAGAAACCCTGAAACCTCAGCTGAGTCCTGCAAAAGAACAACAACAAAACATGAGCTTGCAATAATGCTTCTGTGAGTAAGTTTGAGATATTGAGTGCAGATATTATCACTTAATATAGAATAGGTTGAATATGGCCTTTTAAAGTGCATTTTATTATTCTGCATTACTTTAAAAAGTGTTTTGATAATTGCTGCTGGCAGTGTGTCAGACTGGATCTTGGTAATTAAGTCTGGTTAAATTATGCGATGGAATTACACTGATTTTCCCAAAAGAACTTAAAAGGATGGCCTGGAGAACGTCCAAGTACATGCTTGCTCTGAGGCAAATACTAATAAATCTAAGCAAATTTATTAGGAAAATGCAAAACAAGGCCACATATATTACTCACGAGAATTCAGAGTTATATTACTAGAGTTGATTTAACCTATTCATTACCAATACCTGCAAAAAAGGTGATTGAACAGTGTTTGTTGAATATTCTGCACCCTCGATGCCTGCCTCATATCTTCACGTCTCACCATCAGAGTGCTGTTCCCAACTCTAAACATCTTTTCAAGTGCCCTCACCTGAATGTCAGCCGTACAGATTTGCATGTGTCGGCTTAATTTGTATGCGTGAGATTATTCATCCGAATGTGTCTCCTCCACTTATTAAACCAGCTTGTACCACAGTGGGGAAAAGAAATGCATCACTGTTTCACCGCCAGTGACAAGACACAGAAGAGTAGAAGCTTGCTCTGGTGCATCTTTAATCCAAAGATATCTCCTCCGTTACTGCAAATCCATCATCTTCAACTTTCTGCAGTTGGTCACCTCTCTTCTTCTGAATGTACCGCTCTTCTCCTCCACTCCTCAGTTACCACATAATCCTTTCATTGTGCCACCCCCTTCATCACCTTCGTCCTTCTCCTTCCCTCTCCAACCTAATCTTTCTCCTCTGGTCAGAGCAGTTGAGGCTCTTGCATGTCAGGTCAGTAACGGATACGTGCACTCTTGTCATCGGGCGGCTATGAAATATGCATAGGGATAATTGCGAGCTTGGGTCAGAGTTTAACAACAGAGGGTAATGTACACCACACCACTGAATTGCCCCCACTCACAAGTACTGAGGAACATAATGGCAGCGAGGACTGACACACATACAGAGTCAAGGAGTTGAATTTCTCATAGTTGAAAGATATGTATCCAATAATCATACTCCTGTTTTAAATCTGAAGAGGCATATTGTGTATGAGAGTGTGTGTGTGTGTGTGTGTGTGTGTGTGTGTGTCCAGTCTCAAGGGTATTTTGTTTGTGCTATCACATTACTGCATCAGACAGTGCGAGGTGCTGGAAGCGATAAAGAACCCCAGTCATGGTATTACTCAGCATCTACTAGATTACACTGCTGAGCTCACTTTAAAGATCAAACATGGTGGAAGGGGACATGACTGCATCAAAAGTGTGTCACTCTGTCGGCAGCGTGGTAAACACATTGGACCTGAAGGACAAAAGACATTTTACAAAAACAGGATTTGCCCAAAAAATAACAAAAGAATTGAAAGTCAAAGCATTAACTTATCATTTCATAAAACAACAACAAAACAGAGAGGTAAAATGTCACAAAACAAATACATAAAACAAAAATATGACATTTTATGTGACAAACATAAAAAAAAGAACTGGAAAGACACATCCTCATGGTTGCACTAGAGGAAAAGTCAGGGGACGGACGTTAGGATTCATCCTCTGAGGACCATAGCCATCAGCAACTGAAAAACGTATGTACAAACTTCTCTTCTCTTGTGAGATGTAATGGTTTTCTGTTTTGTAAATGTGTTTTGTGAGATGTAAAATGACAGTTTTCTGTTTTCTTGCAGTCACTATGTTTACACTGTGGCTGAACAGTTTCCTGAACTGCTGTTCTTTTTTCGCACTGCACTCAGACAAATGTTCTATAATACATTACACAAACATCCCTACACTAAAGTTTTAAAAAACATCCGAGTATTGCTTGCTTGTTGTTTCTAACATGAGCATGGAGCAGCAGCCTCCCCACCTGCACATGACACTGACTGAATGAATGAATAAATAAAGCGTGCAGGCTTCATTTGCTCCAGTGTTGGTGTCAGAGTCCTTGTTTACTCCAATCAGTCTGACTGGCAACCCGCACCAATCTCAACTCCTCAAATACACACAGTTCTGCTAGCTTCCCCTCCCCGTTGTATCAGTGTCAGGGGAGGAGAGAAGGACCTCTAGTTCAACTTCCCCACTGCAATCTTCAAGATGCAGCAGCATTTGCAACTTTATAGCATTTGTTTTATCCTTTATCCCACATCAGTGGGGTTTACTGACAGGACAGCAGAGTTACTGTCAGGAAGCTGTCAGTCACAGCACACAAGCTTTTATATTCTTTCCTGTGGCATTTCAACTTTCAGGCACATGGGTGCTTGAATCTTTCAATTTCAATTTGGCTGGAAGGTAAAGCCAAGCAATAATATTTCCTTGCAACCTTTCCTGCTACCTAAAAATATTCCTACAAGCCCTGTGATGGTTTGACTTCTTTTTTTCTGTGGCACCGCATCGAGCAAGTTTACAATCCTATAAATAAAGGATTTGGAAATTGCTTGTATTTTGTAACAAATTGTGCTTTCATTTGTACTTTGCAGATATGTTTTTTCATTCATATTTTACAATATATTTATTTTTACCAGAAAAACAATGTATACTGAGCATCTTGAGTAAAAAAAAAATCTTCTTTGGGATAAATAAAGTTCTCACTTTATTTCATTATGATGGTGATTATTTATTTCAAAACAAAAAAAGCAATGAAAGACAAAGTTTACTATTATTGTTATTATTACTATTATTTTTTATCAATTGTCTGCACAATATTTGTGATCCCTCTTCTACCCTAGTAAAACGATTATTTACAACACCAAATGTATTTACATGTATGCACACTTACACACAACACACATTTAAAGCGACAAACGTACACATTAAATTAGACAAAAGCTCTCTCCACTGTCTGTTGATTTCGTAGGTGCACTCAATCACAAGACCAATAATTCTACCTTGATGTAACTTCAGTGGTTTTTCAAAACGTGTGAAAAATGTTCGAGCCTTTGGCATGAGAGGCTAAAAAAAAAAGTTTTGTGATGGACTGTGATGGAGTTTTTTTTCTTTGTCTTGACTTATTCCAGTCCTCTAAAAAAGACGAGCACATGCGAGCAGATAACAAGATGGCGTTTGTCAAGATTACAAGAAAATACAAGCCAAAGTCTGACACAAATCAAGCATCGGAAAAACAGTCACGTCTCCGGGAGTCTCACATCTGAGTCTCTCACTTGAGATGCTGTGGAGAGATATTCAATCCTCAAATATTCCCTTTTCAGACTGTATGTACACAACGCAGCGCATGTCTTTTCCATTATTATCTCCAGCCTTGTTTGTGTTTCTTGTAGCTGTCTTTTACTTGCCACACTCTCTCTTTGTGATCGTCAAGCAGTTCCTTTGGCGGTTTTTATTCCCGCTGTGTGCCGTCATTTCTGTCTTTCTTCATTCTTGTCTGAACTGCTGGTTACATTTTCCCTCATCTTTAAATTTTCCATGAAGCTTGTATCACTTAACTCATCAGTCACCCAATCTACTGTCTCACCCCCCCAACGCCCCACCCCCCTTCGCCTCTGTATCAAAACAGGCCCAACTTCTTTGTCTTTACTCTCTCACCTCTGATCTTAAACCAATGCCAGGCTGTTTTTTTTTTTCTTGACAGTTGATGCGCCTCATCTCTCCAGCTCTCAGCAGTGCAAGATCTTGATGAAGGCTTTGCGAAACTCGATGTTGAAAGTGGTGTAGATGACAGGATTGACGGCGCTGTTGAGGTATCCCAGCCAGGTGACAGCGCTGTACAATGAGGGCGAGATACAGCAGCTCCTGCAGTGGGCCTTGAGCACGTGTGTTAAGAAGAAAGGCAGCCAGCAGATGATGAACACACCTTGGAAACAGGGACAGGAAGGGGATTAGAAGATGAGTGTATGCGTGTTTTTAGCATGTGGACAAATTGTGGCACTATGTGTGGCACAAATTGTGTAGGGATATAATGAATGAAATATCCCGCCAACTTCTGCATTTGCAATTCGCACAGAATGATGAAACTGCTGTAACAATACATAGATAGACAGAAAATTTCATCAGTATCAATAGCAGGGTTACACCTGCCAAGTCACATAAATCACAAAACAGATAAGGTAGGCGAAAAACAAAATACAATCAAACAAAAAGCCATAAATAATGGAGGCCATACAAATTGGTGCCATGGATGTCAAGATTTAACAGTGTATCTGTTACTGAAATAAGTAATACTTGAAGTTTCGTCCAAATATGCATCTAAAACCTTCCATCTAGAACATGATTCATTCATTCAGAACATTGATTATTGTTTTTTTTTGTTTTTTCAATGGACAGTTAATGGACTGTGAGGAAATATTTTCAGGATTTGACAAAAACTGAATTAAAGTGCAGTGTTTACTTATCAAGAGAGATATTTTTTTATTTTAACCCAGGTATTTGTATTGCTTTCTTTTTATTCAAATATAAAATATTACCTTCCAAATATAAAGGTAATGTGAGGTGGAATCTTACAAATTACAGTAATATCATTATATTTGCATAGTTTACCTTATTATGCAACAAACCAAGATAATATTGGACTTTTGTGAGTAGAAAATTAATAATAATATAAAACAGAACACTAAATACTTACATATTCATTTAGACTAGTTTGTTTGTATACAGTAGTACAGTAGTACAGTAGTACAAAGTAGGCAGCTTTGTGCACACACACACACACACACACACACACACACACACACGCACACACACAGGTTGAGACAGGCTACACGGTTTCGGTTAAAAGATCAACACCTCATCAATTAGTCTGTACTTCCCTCCGCTCACCGAGCACAATGGCGAGCATCTGTGTTGCCTTCCGCTCCTTCTGCTGTGACAGCCTCCCTCTCACCCTCTCCTTGGTAATCCCCCATCTCTCTCTGCCTCCGCTGCGCTCCCTCCATCCCTCACGGCCTCTCATGCCGTCCTCCAGGGTTGGGGGGCGAGGCATCAGGGCCGATCTCGTCACGGTTGAGGGAAGAACTGGGGCAGGTCCAACTGAGATAGCCAGGGAGATCCTGGCCCGTCCCGCGTGGGAGGAAGCCTGGGGGGCAGGAGGGGGAGCCAGGCTCTGCTCCATCTGAGGCAGGAACTGACCCGGCTCGACTTCGAGGGGGTGAACCACGGCCTCCTTTACCAGGGTCTTATGTGAAGAGAGGGAAAGAGGAGGTGAGGTGAGGTAAGCGTTGGGAGACAAAGAAAGGTGGGGGTGCAGAGGACAAACTCACCACTTTCTTGCGCTGTGGGCCGGCAGTGGCAGGCCTCAGGATCAGGGTGCACAACTTCACATCCTCTGGCTGTGTACACTTATTCTGAAAGGGAAGGAGGCAACATATGGAGAACAGAAAATATATTCTTGGGGTTTTGGGAGTTGCTGATGCTAAAAATGTTTTTCGATTAATATACACTGGCCTAAAATCTGTTTTTAAAGCAAAAACAGATAAACATTTTTGAAGAGAAAAAATGTCCTTTGTCTTTGTTTGCTTTACACAATTATAGACAATTTATATTTGATAGAATGCTAGACTCTTAAAATTCAAATTTCACTCAGTGTAAACATCATATAGTTTCAATGAAGAGCTGGAACAAGTTGATCTATTTAATGATACCAGTTTGTAAAAGGTAGCACAATTTTTATATAACGGTATAACGGAAAAGCAAACATTCCCTTAAACATTTGGGAACTTATAAAGTTATATTTTTGCTAATGGAAGTTATGGACAATTGGATTCATCTAAACTCTTTTGGTGGTATAATCAATGTTGTCGAAGACCAGTGGGTCAACATCTATTAACACCAAATTGTTTACTGGAGCAGAGAAGGGAAAACACATGCAATGTCTATAAAATGGATCATAACACCACCTTCCTGTGTCGATGACCATCTCCTGCCTCAGCCCCGCCTTGTGTGTGCAGACCGTGCCTGCGCGGCGGGGCAGTGCGTCTGCCTCGTCTGCGCAGCACCACGCAGATCTGCGCATATACCAGCAAAGTTACGATGAAGGGAACGTAGAAGGAGGCCACAGATGAGTACACCACGAAGGCCGGATCTGCAAAGCTACACGTGGTGCCTTCCCGGCTGGCTAATGCAGGGAAGAAAAAGAGGAAAATGCATTTTATTATTAATAATGTACAGAACCTTTCAGAGAGTATTACATGATTTCACTTTTTGTCATATTTTATGGCTGCCCACGATCTTGTTTTTAAATATTTTGGGGAATATGCTGTCATTATCTCTTACATGTAAAGTCAGATGTCAGAAGATGGTTAGCTTAGTTTAGAATTATGACTGGAAGCAGGATAAAAAAAAGTCTAGCTTGGCTCTGGTTTTTGTACAGATTAAACAAGTCAGATGTGGCCCCCTGGTTCCAGTCTTTATGCTAATAAGTTACACTAACCGCCCTCTGGCTGTAGCTTCATTTCAAATCTCTAAAGCAAATATGTGTATTTCTCAAAATGCCTAACTATTCCCTTGAAAACAAGACAACCCAAATTCTGAGGTTTTAAATTAATACTTAAATACAGCAGTTGATAAAATAATCTCAGTACAAGATTTATTTAGTGGCTTTCATGGAGCTTTAGAACATATCACATGATCACCATCAGCAGATGGGAGCCCATTTGTCATATTAAAAATATTCCATTTTCTTTGACTACTTTGCAGACTTTTGGTCATGTCAGAATCAGAATCAGAATCAGAATTGTTTATTGCCAGGTAGGTTTATACACGGGATTGCATTAATGTAATGCATATATACAGGGCGGTTATAAGAGTCAGTGTCAGTGGGGGTTCCGAGCCTTGTTAATGAGGCCAGCTGCAGACGTTTTTGTAGTGTGAGGTTTTGGTCCTGATGGACCGCAGCCTCCTGTCAGAGGAAAGTGTTACAAAGAGTTTGTGACCGGGGTGGGAGGGGTCAGCCACAATCATCCCGGCACGCCTCAGAGTCCTAGAGGCATACAGGTCCTGGAGGGATGGCAGATTGCAGTCGATCACCTTCTCAGCAGATCGAATGATACGCTGCAGTCTGCCCTTGTCCTTGGCAGTGGCAGCAGCGTACCAGATGGTGATGGAAGAGGTACTCGATGATGGCGGTGTAGAAGTGCCACCATCATCGTCTTTGGCAGGTTGAACTTCCTCAGCCGCGCAGGACGTAGGTAGCACATCCTCTGCTGGGCTTTCTTGGTGAGGGATCTGATTTTCAGCTCCCACTTGAGGTCCTGGGTAATGATGGTACTCAGAAAGCGGAAGGACTCCACAGAGTCAACGGTGGAGTCACAAAGGATGATGGGGCGGGTGGGGCTGGGTTGTTCCTGAATCCACAACTAATCTACACTGTTTGTAGCCAGATGGTCAACCTCCCATCTGTAGACGGACAATGAGGGAGGTGTCATCCGCGAACTTCAGGAGCCTGACGGACTGGTGACTGGAGGTGCAGCTGTTGGTGTACAGGGAGAAGAGTAGACGAGAAAGAACGCAGCCTCGGGGGGATCCGGTGTTGATGGTCCGAGAGTCAGAGGCATTTTTCCCCAGCTTCACATGCTGTTTCCTGTCAGACAGGAAGTCTGTGATCCACCTGCAGGTGGAGTCAGGCACAGTGAGCTGGGAGAGCTTGTTCTGTAACAGAGCTGGGATGATGGTATTGAAAGCCACAAACAGGATCCTGGCATAGGTTCCTGCATCGTCTACAGACCTGTTGGCTCTGTAGGCGAACTGCAGGGGGTCCAGGAGTGGGTCTGTTATGGCTTCGAGGTGGGAAAGCACAAGGCACTCAAAAGACTCCATAACCACTGAGGTATGGGCGACAGGTCTGTAGTAATTGAGTCCTGTGGTCCTTGGTTTTTTGGGGACAGGGATGATGGTGGAGGCTTTGAAGCAGGCTGGCACATGACATGTCTCCAGTGAGGTGTTGAAGATGTCAGTGAACACCGGAGACAGCTTGTCAGCACAGTGCTTCAGGGTGGATGGGGACACAGAGTCTGGTCCTTCTGAACATAATTTAACTACACTTTCTGAGCAGTGACTACCATTGTTGCACGCTACATCTTCCCATATGGTCTAGCGGTCAGGATTCCTGGTTTTCACCCAGGCGGCCCGGGTTCAACTCCCGGTATGGGAAATCTTAATTCTAATACGTGTAGAGGTGTCAGGCATTCACAGTTATCACGTCAAGGAAGTGAAAGAACAAGCCTATCAGGTTTCAGCTGGGGGGTGAGGTACATCGAGTGTTCCTTCACATCCTTGAAACCACTGGCCCCAGCTCACTGAGGCAAAAAATGCCAACCTATGCCATGGTGCTGCGTGCGCACGAAGAACCAAGTACAGTGTGTCTTGTGGCTTTGCCAATTATCAAAGAAATTTCCTACGCAAGGAGCAAGTAGCATGCTTTGACAAGAAATATATTATATGATGCATGCCACTTCTTGTCTATTATTTGGTGTTTCTCTGTTCAACTCAACCAGGTTCAACCACCGGTGAGGGAAGTTAAATCTAATATCTGGTCAATTAAGCATGAGTTGAGTATACAGAACAACACCCAATAACAACTCTGTGTCATCATTAATAAGTCTGGAATAATGACTTCTGAACATGATTAAACTGTACTTTGTCAGGAGTAACTACCATCATTGCTCGTTCAGACGGTCCCATATGGTCTAGCGGTCAGGATTCCTGGTTTTCACCCAGGCGGCCCGGGTTCAACTCCCGGTATGGGAAATTAATAGTTATATTACAGAGCTACTAATAATGACAGTTGTTAATTGAATGAGGTGTTGCTCAGTATCTCAGATACTGAATGCACTCATGGGTGTATGTATTGAATAAAAATAAAAAACGTCTCTCATGTCATAATTGATCACCGACATTTAATTTCCCGCACCAGGAGTTAAACCCAGCCCACCGGGGGAGTATCAGAATCAGATTTACAATTGGGTTTATTGCCAAGTAAGTTTCAACACGTACAAGAATTTGCCTTGGTGCGTTGGTGCATAAAAATCACACTAAAATAGAGTACTTTTTAAAATATAAATAAATAAAGATAAAGATAGAAAGATCTAAACTGCACAGGAAAGATATTTACAATGTGCAGGATAGAGAAACCAACGGGAGTGCATTAATGTAATGCATATATACAGGGTGGGTTTAAGAGTCAGTGTCAGTGAGGGTTCCGGGCCTTGTTAATTAGACCATCTGCAGATGGAAAGAAACTGTTTTTGTGGCGTGAGGTTTTGGTCCTGCTGGACCGCAGCCTCCTGCTAGAGGGAAGTGTTTCAAAGAGTTTGTGTCCGGGGTGGGAGGGGTCAGCCACAATCTTGCCTACAGGTCCTGGAGGGATGGCAGATTGCAGCCGATCACCTTCTCAGCGGATCGAAAGATAGCTGCAGTCTGCCCTTGTCCTTGGCAGTGGCAGCAGCGTACCAGATGGTGATGGAAGAGGTGAGGATGGACTCGATGATGGCGGTGTAGAAGTGCACCATCATCGTCTTTGGCAGGTTGAAC